TCCAACAGGAGATCCCTGCCCTTGGGAACGGGACTTGTCCCCTGTAAAACTCATTCCCATCCCTCCAGGCTCCAGGAGAGGGTTGGGAGATGATCCCTGTCTTTGGGAATGGGGCTGCTCTGRTTTTSAGCCCATTCCCACCTCTCCAGCAGGAGATCCCTGCCTTTGGGAACGGGGCTGTTCTGGCCTTAGTCCACCCACATCTCCCAGGTTCCAGCAGAGGGTTGGGAGGAACCCCCTGTCTTTGGGAATGGGATTTTTCTGGTTTTGAGCCCATTCCCATCTCTCCATCAGGATATCCCTGCCCTTTGGGAACGGGACTGTTCTGATTTTGAGCCCATTCCCCAATCCCAGGCTCCATCAGGAGATCCCTGCCCTTGGGAATGGGGCTGCTCTGGTTTTCAGTCCATTCCCATCCCTCCAGGGCACATTCTGCTGCCTTGAGATGTTTTTGCTCTTTGCTCAGCTCGAGGAGTCCAAGGGAAGTTGGCGTTTTCTGAGCTGATCCTGCAAATCTGGACAAAGCAGCAGAATTTTGCAATCTGTGATTTTTAGCTCTGAACACACCCCCATCGTGTGGATTCCTCCTGAAGTGGAGGGGATTGAGAAGGAACAAAACCCTTCTCAGACCCCTAATCTGCACAAAACATCTCCTCTATTAACAAAAACMAGGGTTTTACCTTCCTTCTTTCAAATATTTAAGGGCATCTGAGAATTAGATACAATAGTTGGGTGTTTAAAGAGATATTTGGATTTAAAAGAACATTGTAGCTTGTAGTAGTTGGGAAGGAGCTGCATCATAAATATAAATAATATAAATATAAATATAAATATAAATATAAATATAAATATAAATATAAATATAAATATAAATATAAATATAAATATAAATATAAATAGAAATAGAAATAGAAATAGAAATAGAAATAGAAATAGAAATAATAGAAATAGAAATAGAAACATATAGAAAGATATCTGTATATAAAAATACCTATTAAAATAATGTTATATTTTAATATATATTTCTATAACTGAAAATATAAATAAAAATTAAATAAATAAATATATAAATATTTAATATATAAATAAATATTTAGAGGTGTATAAATATATAAAATAGAAATATCTATTTTAAATAGAAATATATAAAAATTAAAAGAAATATAAAATAGAAATTGATATAGAAATAGAAAATAAAATAATGTAGAAAATTATGAATACAAATATATAAATACAATTATAAATATAAATAATATATAAATAATATATTATATAGAAATAAAATATAAATAATATGACCTGACCTTGACCTTTCCAAACTACAGTAAGCGCTACAGAAATTCTCCCTGAGAGACAAAGGCCACTTTGTTGCAATAGTGGGATTAGTTGGAAATCCCAAATCCTTTCCATGATTCTCCTGTTTGTTCAATGACAGGGCTCGCTGGCGTTGTGTGCTGCCAGCCCCAACGTTGGCAGTGCCCGTGCTGGGATTTTCAGCTCCTCGGAGCTTCCTCGCAGCCAAAAGGCTTTGAAAAATCCCTGAGCAAACAATGCTCAGTCAGCACTGAACCAGAACAAACATTCCCTGAGGAATCAGTGAGACCTTCCCCGCCAGGGCCACATCACCAGGGGAGGAAATGCTTCGTATGGCCACTGAAAACTTCTGCAAAGTTAGCCATAGTTTTAAACAATCATAATTTTAAATAAATATTTGCCATTGTTTTTAACAATCATAATTTTAATTGTTTTGTGCGTCCATTGAAAGTTTCTGCAAAGTTGGCCATAATTTTAAACAATCATCATTTAAAATAAATGTTTGCCATAGTTTTTAACAATCATCATTTTAATTGCTTTGTACGTCCACTGAAAGTTTCTGCAAAGCTGGCCATAGTTTTAAACAATCATCATTTTAAATAAGTGTTTGTCATAATTTTTAACTATCAGAATTTTAATTGTTTTATACGTCCACTGAAAGTTTCTGCAAAGTTAGCCTCAATTTCTAGCAGCCATAATTTTAAATAAATGTTTGCCATAGTTTTTTAACAACCATA